TCTTATTCAGGTTCTTGAAAGTGTTAGTGATGGACTGCGGAAAATTTATAAGCAAAAATTGTTACCGCTGGAGGAGTATTACAAATTCCACGAATTTCATTCACCCGCGCTTGGTTGGTTCTTTTTTTGGATTTGTTTAATTGAATTTTATACGGATTTATATGGTTTGGCGCATTTGGTGACGCATCTTTTGAAATATCTTCATATGCGAGTAAGCGACCATGTGTTGGTGTTGTGCGCAAGAATATATATTGTCTCTTGAAAGAAGAGTACTACATGTAATAGGTGACCACAACAACCCTCGAAAAACTGATGAAGAGAAGACGAAACGGCCGGTCAGAAAAAACTGAACTGTAACGGTGGATATGACCAACAACATAGAAGCCCCATGAGAAACCAGCTATTCTGACTGTGGAATTATGACTTGAGGGGGGAACATCAAAAAGAAAAAGCCGAAACGTGGAGTATTCTGCTCTCTGTAGATGCGCTGGACAGAACTGAAAAAAGTCCTAAGAAGTATAATCTTCCGGAAAAGGTAGCGACGCTTCGTAAGCTAAACCTGAGAAATTGCTATTCGGTTTCTTAGTTCACTGCTACCACTTGAGACAGTATAATCCAGTGGGTAGTATATGTCATTGGCCTTCCACTAATTTTTGTTTTCAGATGATCCCGATTTCGATGCCAAGCCGATGATACTTTTGGTTGGCCAGTACTCCACTGGCAAAACAACCTTCATACGGTATCTGCTGGAGGAGGATTTCCCGGGAATTAGGATAGGCCCGGAGCCAACAACCGATCGTTTCATTGCTGTAATGTGGGGCGAAGATGTTGGCTCAATACCGGGCAATGCACTCGTCGTCGACGCAAAAAAGCAATTCAGAGCATTGAGCAAGTACGCTTTCTGTAATAGGCGAAATCTGCTTTTTGAGGGAATGGCTTCATTCTTTTGTTTTTGATATTAGGCTCCATCCTAGTAAGTTCTCAGGATTTAAGCGGCCTTGCTGTTTTGCTATCCACGTTAGTTTGCTTTGAAACAAACTCGTTTTTTCAAGAATGTATGCTCTTTAAAGAATTATTTGTAGGATACATTGCATGCTAACAAAAAAAGCTGAAACAGTCTCCTTCGTTTAAGCTCTGTGCATCTTCTCATCGTCACTTGTCAGATAGAGGCATTGGTTTTCTCTAAATTTTTCTTCGTGGATCATGGCTGGCTAGGTTTGTGATCAGCAGCCATCAGCATGCCAACATTTGGATTCAGAAATGAAGCAAGCAGCTGATTTACAGGAAAATTTGTGTTTCTAAGAAAAGCTGATTTACAGGGAAAGCTTATTTTGCGCTAAGAGTGCCAAATTGATTAGGAATTCCCGTGTTAATGCAGCATTTTTTAATGCTAGTTAGTGTCTGGTGTAGGGATAAGGATCACATTTTCCCCATCCAGATGCTGGTTCTTTCAAAAACTTATCATTTCAAACGATGCCATTTCGTCCATATGCTATGAAATATCCCAAATAACTGGATGATGAT